GCTGGGGATGTCCAGCCTGGATACCAGGGAAGAGTTCAATGGTAAGCCACCAGTCACCATCCAGAGGTGCGGCGCCATGGAGCCGAGCGAAAACGTTCAGCCCCCGGAAAGACAGCACGACGTGATCTGAGCAGAGAGCCTGCTCACCAGTGCTGGGACAGCCTGAGGGGGCTTCGTGGAGGAAGCGTGAGGAGAGGACTTTGAAGGTTTGAGGGCAGGGGTGGGGGCAAGAGACCAAGGAGGCGAGAGCCAAAGAGCAAGGATTGAGCGAAACACGGAGCCCAGAGGGCTGCCTAGCAGGTGATTTCATGTGAAACAGGTGTTTCGAGAAAATGAGAGATTAAAAACAGTCTGAGAGAGAGACAGATAGCCCATCTGGAAGAGACATCCCGTCTCCTTCCTGTGCTTCCTATTCTTCCTTTGAAGAAAAAACTGCCTCCATAAGCTGCGTCATCAGGAACGACATCGGTCAAACTGACCTCTGGAGGCTTAATACGGCTTGTTTTAGTCAAGCATCCACTTGACTTGAAAACAAGAGTAAGGTGACTGCAGATAAAGTCAAAACTATTGTGGGTTTTCAAATCCTATTTGAGTAATCTCTCCCCACAGCTACAGGCGCTGACCACGCTTTCCACTCCTCATTTATCCAGTGTCAGTCAGCCAGAGTCAGTCAGCCTGTGAGTGTCCCAATGTCAATCAGTCCGCCGATCACTGCCAGTCATTGTCCGCCAGCCAGTGACAGTCAGTCAGTCATTCAGTCTCAACTAATGTCTGACAGTGTCAATCAATCAGTGTCAGTCAGCCAGTCAGTATCTGTCAGTCAGTCAGTCACCTTCTTAATCAGTGTCTGTCCATTAGTGTCAATCAATCACTGTCAGGGGCTTCCCTGGCAGTCCAGTGGTTAAGACTTCACCTTCCAAAGCAGAGAGTACAGGTTCGATCCCCAGTCAGGGAGCTAAAATTCCATATGTCTCATGGCCAAAAAGCCAAAACATAAAAAAACAGAAGCAATATTGTAACAAATTCAATAAAAACTTTGAAAAATGGCCCACATCCAAAACCAAAAAACTTACAAGAACAATCAATGTCAGTCAGTCAACCAGTCAGTGTCTGTCAGTCAGTCAGCCAGTCAATAAGGACAGCACTCAGCTGGCTTCTGAGCACCATGCCTGTTTGCCTCTATTTACCCAGCACCTTTCCTGTTTCTGATTCTGAAGACAGGTGTGTCCTGCCTCCATGAGGACATTTAGGGGACCTGTTTCCCCAGGAATCCAGAACAAAGCAATTGCCAAGCTGGGTCAGGCCCTCAGCCCTCATTTTCAGGCCAGCCATAAGCGGCTGGGCTGAGCTGCCGTGATTCTGAGAGCTTCCTGAGGGCATCAGCTGAGAAGTAAGTGACTGAGAGGGAACCAGGTCGCCTTTGACTCTGAGGAGCCGCTTCCTCCCCCGCAGGGGTTCTGGCAGTCTCTCACCTAACTACTCACCTGGCCGCAGTCCCAGGACTGGCAGGACAAACACCATGATACCTCAGGCGCTGTGGCAGCAGGCCCTCCCCACTTCCTCCCACAGAAAGCTCTGCTCTCTGCTGTCTGTGGATGTGACTAATGGGGACAGAATAAACAGCAGCTTCTTTCTCGGGTAGAGCCATCGTTGAGGGTACTAGAGGGTGAGGCCGTTCTGAGCCCTGAGGCACAGGGACCTTCCTCAGTGCAGACCTGGTGTGTTCACCATCTCTTGCTTGGAAAATGCCCTAGTCTCCGAGACTTCCCTGAGTCCCAAAGAACAGACTCAAAGCAGTTAGTGATTTTTGTTGTTCTTTGGTCACTCAGTTGTGTCTGAACTCTTTTGTGACCCCATGGACTGTAGTTCCCCAGGCTCCTCTGTCCATGGAATTCTCCAGGCAAGGATACTGGAGTCGTCGGTTGCCATTTCCTTCTCCAGGGGATCTTCCCAACCCAAGAGTCGAATCCACGTCTCCTGCATTGCAGGTGCATTCTTCACCACTGAGTCACTGGAAAAGCAGTCAACTCAAAGAAAAGTAATGATAACCTAAATAATAGATCAGCTGTAAAAGAATCACAAGACTTCTAGTTTTCCTTGAGGGATACAGGCAAACTTCTGATCACATTTTTAAGTTATTTTTACAGAAGCCAGGATCCCACCAGGTGAAAACTGCTGATCACAAACAGGTGGATCCTAGACGAGCTGAACTGGTAGTCTGATGACTGAGATTTTGAAAACACCACACTGTTACCTCATCACCAACCAATCAAAAATTTGTCTAATGTTGCGTTTTAAAACCCTTACCTGAAAGCCATTTGGGAGTTTGGGTGTTTTGAGCATCAGCTGCCCATTCTCCTTGCCTGGCTCCATCCAATTAAACTGTATTTTCTTTCCCCACAACCCAGTTTTAGTATGGGCTTCCCCAGAGGCTCAGTGGTAAAGAATCTGCCTGTAATGTAGGAGCTACAGGACACTCGGGTTTGATCCCCTGGAAGATCCCCTGGAGAAAGGAATGGCAACCCACTCTAGTATTCTTGCCTGGAGAATCCCATGGACCTGAGGAGCCTGGGTTCCAGTCTATAGGGTCGCAAAGAGTCGGACATGAATGAAGCGACTTAGCACGCACAGTTTCAGTAGGTTGGCTTTCCTGTGCATCGGGTATTTGCTTTGTCTGCCTGGACACTGTCCCCACTTGTTTGATGGAAGCTCTGACCATCTCCATCAACTCCCCACAAACCTTGTGGATTCAGGTATGAACTAACAATCAGTGTGCCCCCTCACTCTGCTCACAGGTGGACCTAAGGCCCAGCTGGACCAAGGGCAGAACTTCTAGGCAACTGGTTGGGGTGGATACGTGATCTAAGCCCGACCAATCAGAATTCTTCCCAAAAGTTTTCTGAGGCTGCCTCTTGAGTCCTTTAGCCAGAAGGATACGTGCCTGTGTGCCAACAGAATGGCTGTCATTATGTGCTATGTGCTAAGTCACTTCAGTCGCGTCTGACTCTTTGTGACCCTATGGACCGTAGCCCACCAGGCTTCTCTGTCCATGGGGTTCTCCAGGCAAGAACACTGGAGTGGGTTGCCGTTTCCTTCCCCTTCATTGTATAGGGAAGTCCTTAAAAGGAGAGGATAATTCCACACATGGAAGACAACAGATGAGAGAGTCCTGACAGGGTTCAAGCCCCTAATTTCAGCCCCATAGTTGCCCCCATCCCAGCTCCCACCTTTAGGTTTGTGAGCAGTGCTTGTGAAAAACCACCTCACCTGATACCAATGAGTGTGACTGCTGCCCTGTTAGAGCCATCCCTACCTATATCTCCTATGCACTTGCAAGTGGCTGATCCAGTATGTGGTTTGCCCAAGCCTCCCAGCTTCTCTTCTTCAGCCCCTTGCATCAGAGGTGGGCACTTAGAAGGTCTTGTTTCAATGCTTAGTTGGCAATGTCTTGATATTCTTTTATATGTATATAGTATTTACTTATTTATTTATGGCTGTGCCAGGTCCTTGTTGCTGCTCATGGGCTTTCTCTAGTTGCAGTGATTGGGGTCTACTCTCTAGTTGCAGTGTGCAAGCTTCTCATTGCGGTGGCTTCTCTTGTGGCAGAGCACAGGTTCTAGAGCACTCTGGCTTCAGTAGTTGTGGCACACAAGCTTAGTTACCCTGCAGCACGTGGGACCTCAGTTCCCAGACCAGGGATCGAACCTGGGTCCCCTACATTGGCAGGCGGACCACCAGGGAAGTCCCAATGTCTTGAAATTCTTGATCACTTTTAAACACAGAGCCCTGCTTTTTGATTTTGTGTATGCCTCACAGGTTAATTTTGCACGGGGTCACAGTCCCTCCTGGTGGGATTTGTGACCCCACTTTATTGCTCCAGTTCCCAGAGCTCACTCTTCCATCACCCACTTCTTAATGACCCTTCCATTCACCCCCTCCCCTATCCTGCTCTCCCCCACAGGAGACTATTTTTCCCAGAGACAGGGAGTCATACCTGTGCCCGCTTGCAGTTGGCTTCTTGCTCCCCATCCAAGCTCTGTATAAAATCTTGAGAGCAGGGATTCACTTGATCTAGAACAATGCTGACATGAGTGGCTTCTCTTGCATCTACCCCTCAACCTCCAGAATTCTGTGATTGTGTCTCAAACCACCTCCTAGAGGCCTCTGGGAAAGCTACACCATGTGGTTAAACATGGTCCAGCCCTGGGAGGCTTAGATTCAAGCGATGGAGAACTCTGCAGGTGTCCTCAGCAACAGCCTGCTGAGCATCCAACAAAGGCTCGTCTCACCTTGGGCCTTGCTGCTTCTCCTGGAAAAGGTGAATTCCAGCCCTCTCCCACCTCCCCTAAGGGAGAAATAGCAGTAAAGCAACTATAGCCTCAGCCTTTACACCCACAGTATCTAACTTGAGAAGCCAGCCCTGGGCATGGGGGAGGTGAGAAGCTACCACAAGAGAAACTGATATGCAATTTGACAATGGAGAGTCCAGGTGCAGGAAAAAAAAACGATTTATTCTTGGAACACAATAGCAGCTATGCAACTAGGAACATTCTATTCACTCCCATCCCATTCATGTTTTGTGTCACAAAGACATACCAAGACTTTGGAAAAAATTCCAAAGGGGATTACATTGAAATGTGCTGTTTCTCCACGTTTTTGTGCTTGTCTTAATCACAGTGAACCAAATAAAATAGCTTTACAGCTTACTAAAACTCAAACTTGTCCTCAAAGGAAGCAGTTTAAACATTCCTCACTGTATATCAGCAACACAACAATTCCAAGTCAGGACACAGACCCAAGAGACAAAAGCAGCTCTCAGAAAGCTTGTCTTGTCAAAAAGAAAATAAAAACCACCGTGAGGGAAATCCAATTTGTCTAGAAAGACTGGGTCTTTTTCAGGACCATGGTCTCAAAATACTAAGGTACAATTTTGTGTGTTTCCTCTTTGGAAAAAAAGAGGCGAGGAAGAGATCTGACTGAAACCACACTAAGAATCTGGTTTAAAAAGATGAAAGGGTTTGCAGGAAATACATCATCTCTGTATCTCTAAAGGTAGCATTGACCATACTGAAGGGCACAGAAGCAGATTCTCCAGGGGAAACCCTGGTACTGCTTGCCAGTCTGCAGGCTTGCCGGGGTCTGGGAGGTGGATTTCCACTGGGAGGTGCCTCAGGTCTTCTCAAGAACAAAGCAGCCAAGATCTGTGAGTTGGACTGGTACCCTGGAGTGAATGGGTAGATGCCACCCAGAGCTGCCAGGGCTCCAGAGGACACAGGGCCTGCATCCTGGCAGCACTGCCTCATCTCTGTCTATTGCAAATATGTAAGCCCTCCCTTCCCCTCCCCAAACTCAAAGCAGTAGCTAGCTAGGAGAAACAGCAATGGCTGAGGTGGCAAGAAACCTCATGGACTGAGAGGCTCATCCGAGCTCTCCTTGGATCCCCCTGGAGGTTTCTGAGCAAAAGTCCTAACTCACCGGGATTGGGCTCAGCTCGGAGGTGTGGCTCAGAAGGCCTGGCCAGTACAGTAGAGGGCCTGGGCTGGACACCACCATGATGGACAGCTGGCCGAAAAACGAGGACACTTAGCCCTCAGTCAAGTGGGGTGTGTGTGGGCGTCAGGGCCCAGTACCAGGTGACCCGCCACACCTCCACAAACCAGCACAGCCACACAATCTCAGAGTGACAAGTAGGGCCCATACATGGAAGCTAGAACTCTGGGTTCCCCTCAGAGGTTAGAAACAGCTCATATGAAAACCTCCAGGTGCCAACATCTCCACTGGCCAACTGACGACAGATTTCACACTTGATCTGCTGCAATGAAATCCAAGGCCTTTTACCAGTTTCCCCCCTTTTGCCCATGTCCCACATTAAGTTCACATGGCTGTGTATGTGTGTGTGTGTGTGTGTGTGTGTGTGTGTGTGTGTGTGCGCGCGCGCTCGCTAAGTAGCTTCATATAGACTTGTCCCACTCTATATGACCCTATGGGCCAGCCGGACTCCTCTGTCCATGGAAGCCAAGAATATATATAGCTACCAAGCACACTGGTAGCTAACAGAAGAATTTCCTACTTAGCCTGTTTAAGTGGGGTATGCTCTGCAATTTCCTATTTCACTATTTCAGGTGTCACTCACTAAATTGATCTTGTGACCAACTTAGGACTCCCAGTTGTAGCGGGACAAAAACAGCCATGGAGTGCTCTGGACAAAACCTTGGGGACCTAGTGGGCCTCCTAGTCTTCAGGCAGGAGAAATCACTCCTGCCACATAAGGTCAACCTTATTCTGCAGGACATGGACTTTCAGCAGCGGCCCCTGTGTCATCAGTGAAGGTCATCAAGCACCGCCATGGGCACCACAAAGGGTGATGAAGCTGGCCTCCTCCAGGGAACTGACCATCTTTGAAGCAAAAGGGGCTGGCTCCACAGGGTGGGCCGGCCCACGTGCCGGCTGATCTTCGCCACCAGCCCAGTTAGGGTACAAGGCAAGACTGGGTCATCACACGCGGTGGCTTCCACTAGCTCCTCAGCGCTTCCCCACGGGTGCACTGGACCTTTGGAATCTCTGGATGAGGAGCATGAGCCTGGCCACATCGGAGAGCTCAGGGAACAGGGCCATGATGCTGTCCACCTCGTGGGGCGGGAAGATACTGTAGAGCGCGGTGCGCGCCCGGGCACGCGCGTCCACCTCGCCAGCTACAGCCTGGGACGCGGGCCTCAAGGGCCCCCCGAAGGTTCCGTCGTCCCAGGCCGAGCGGCCCAGGAGCTGGCCAGCGCCTGGAGGAAGGACCCACGGGTCGCCAGGCTGCTGGCGCGGGGAGCGCCGGTCGCTCTGCGGGGCACAGGCGCCATACCCACCCCGCAGGCCGGGCTGGCTCAGGAGGCCGGGTGGGGCTGGCAGGGGCGACAAGGACCCGGGTGCCACCCAATTGGGACCGCGCGGCCTGGGCGCGAAGCCACAGCCGGGACCCCGAGGGGGTACCCGGAGAAGCCCTGGGTCGTCGCTCAGGAAGAGCCGCGAGAAGCTGCTTTCGAGAGTCGCCACGCCCGCCGACCGCCGCGCGGGGGGCAGGCTGCGCGTGCCAGGCTCCCGGGGGCCGGGACGGGCGGCAAGGGCGTCCCGGGAGCCGTCCTGCTCCGCCAGGCTGGCCGCGTGCGCGCTCCCCCGCCGCTCCTCCTCGCCGCCCGCGCCCCGCCAGGCCCGCGTTTGAGCGCGGAGCTCGTCGGCCACCGCCAGCTGCGCCTGGTGCGGCCTCTCCGGGTGGTAGAACTTGCACTTGATGCCGTAGGTGCATTTCTTGCCTGGAAGGGACAGAGTGGGGGTGGAGGGGAGGGGCTGGTGAGACCTTGAGTGAGGACTCCGGTGGGGTCCCGGCAGTGGCCGCCTCGCGCCGCCTGTCTTGTTGGCAATTCCTGGGGGTAGGCCCCCAGGCCTGCTGCAGCCTTATACGGTTTGGGGTGAGAGGAGGTGGAGGGCAAGAAGTGTCCTGGGGCGCCGACAAGACGGATGCGGGCGCAGCACTGTGCTCCTCGTGGTACTGGGCTCTGCATACGGTACCCCAGCGTTACCAGCTCAAGGCAAGGTCTTGTCTACGGGCTCCATAACCAGGAACTGAGACCAAATCTCTGGGTCCAGCGACCTTCAGCCTCTACTTCCCCAGGGATCCTGTGGATCCTGCCAACCTCGGAGGTGAAGAGTAGGTGCATATGGATGGGCCTTCACTGCTAACTCGGTTTCCTCCCTCCTTCCACCCTCCATCTCTCCCCACCCCCCACCCCGACCCTCCCGCGGTCCACATCCCTTGTGCCAACCCTTGCCCTCTTCCTTATAGACTGTTTTAACAGAGATGATCAAATAATTTATCATCCAAACCAGGGCCGTTCTGAGAGTGGAAGGGAGAAGAATGGGCCACCAGAATGTGTGTGTGAGCACCTTAATTCTAACAAGAAATGACTTTCAGTATCACTTAGTGAAAGTCACTCAGTCGTGTCCACCTCTTTGCGACCCCATGGACTATACAGTCTATGGAATTCTCTAGGCCAGAATACTGGAGTAGGTAGCCTTTCCCTTCTCCAGGGGATCTTCCCAACCCAGGGATCAAGCCCAGGTCTCCCGCATTGCAGGTGGATTCTTTACCACCTGAGCCACAAGGGAAGCCCCTTCAGTATCACTTAAGGCGTCCTTAACTTTTATAGGCACAAAGAAATGAGACTTGGGTACATTAAATAACTTGCCAAAACAAGCTAGTGAAAGAACTGGCTAGAAGGCTGGTGTCCCTGGAGGGCTCTGGGATAGAATCCTCAATTCTCAGTGGATAGCACCAACCAAAGTCTCCTACCAACCAAAGTAGGAGATGGGGGAGACTGTGGGGCAGGATGGTGGCACAAGGCGCCAGGGGAAGGGCCTGAGAAAGGAGAGCTTGGGGGTGCACACAGACGGCAATCCTGCTTCCTGGACGTGGCTTTGTCTGTGGGTGACCCCTGCATCCAGCCCTCACAAGCCTTATGCAACAGGCAGTTCATCATTACAGTGACAATAATTACAGCTTTCTGAGTGCCATCCAGAGAGGTTCAGTTTCCTCCCCAGGGTCACACAGCTGACTAAGGGCAGAATCCAGACTACAGCCCACGCTGCTGACCATCAAACATCTCATCAGGATGAAACTCTGGTTCTCTCTTGGGCATTTGCTTAATTTCACAAATCTTAACAGGTCTATTTTTAACAATACACTACACATCAGACACAATAACAACCTTCTCATCAGTTACACACATTTGCCAAGATGTGAATTATGGATAAATCATGAGATCTATACATCCAAACGGGGCCTCCATATATTCTTTATCTGCTTATTAATACACATAGAACACGGCCTATATTACTTTACCCCTTTCTAGAAACATGAAATATTGGAACACAGGCCAGCACATTTGACCTGAACAGGGCCCACAGATGTGGGGTGCTACCCACCGTAGGGGCAGTGCTGCCAGGACGGCTCTGGGGGCTTTGGCTTCCTGCTCAGAAAGTTGCTCAAGGTGGGTCCCCGACGGCCCAGGGGGTCATCAGGAGGCATGAACCTGGAAAATAAGCATGGGGGTGGGTGACTGCAAGCCTCCCAGAAACTCACCACTGGCAGCTGGGGGAGGGGGCGGAGGCAGCAGCAGGCCTGGCCTCTCGGTTCCGGGCTCTTTCTCCCACCCGGGAGTTGCCACGTGTCCGAGACGCGCAGCCTTTGTCCGCACTGACCGGTACAGAGCCCAGCACGGACAGCTCCCAGGACAGCGGCCCCGGGCCCCGTCCAGGTGTTTCTCCTGCTGAGTCAGCAGCGTCAGACTCGCTCAGCAGCTCCTCGAAAAAGGCAGGCTCCGGGCCTCACAGGAGACCTGCTTAAACAGAAGCTCGGGCTCTTCAGGAATCTGCATTTTAACAATCTCCCAGGTAGATTTTAGCCACTTAAGTTGAAACAGCAGTGCACTAGGTCTCCCCGGAACTTAGTCTGAAAGCAGTTCTATGCTGCCTTCCAGAGTCCTCAATGGATGGCTAGAGACCTCCGTGGGGCCACAAACGGCCTCTCATCTTGTGAATTTCATTTCTCCCGTGTCACCCCACAGCTCTGGGCCTCTCCGGTGCAGGATAAAAAATTTACAGAGTCTTAAAGGCCAGTCAGCGGGTCAGTGGGGCAGAGGATACAGGTGCGGCCTGCACACAGGTGTGGCCTGGGCTCCACCCCACCCCCCCAAAAACCTGGGGGCTGGGGGGGAATGTCACTCTGTCACTCTCTGACACCACCCTGCCCCCTGCCGGCCCCTTCCCTTCCCGGGCATTAAGGAAAAAGGGAACATAGCCACAGAGCCCAGGGCTCAAGGGGGAAAACATTTCTCAGAAGGAAAACTCCCTCATTTAGCACAACCCATTTTTTTTTATATGAATGTTTTCATTCCCAGGAGACACTCGAAGGTCATACAAAGGTTCCACTAGAGAGGGTGTGGATTCTAATCAGGGCCTGTTTTTACAGACTGGCTTCCCCCTAAGAGTGAAGGGTCATGCTGGGGTCCCACCCTGCAGACCACATCCACCAGGCCGGCCCTGAGCTGGGCGATCCCCGGCCGAGGACAGCCTCCATGGCTGAGATCCCAGCTACACAGCCGGCTTCTCAGAGTTGGGCCCTGACCAAGAATCCGGGGAGCCACCCAGTGCAGTTATTAAAAGTTCCCTGAGGCTTCACCTCCTGCTCTTTCCCGGGCCTCACAGCCGGGAGCTGGGCCAAGACGGCCCTGTGGACATGCCCTGGGCGCGGGGAGGGCGTCTTTGCCCTCGGGCAGGCGGCAGGCTCTGCACTCTGGCAGCTGGGGACCTCCGGGCAGGCCCTGAGCGGAGGCCAGTGCGTCAAGAGGACTTGGCCTGGACCCCGGGCTGTCGCCAGGCCAGAGGCGGCCATGATCCATCAGAACTCAGTGCAGATTTTCTGGATCCCATGATGACCAGCCATGCCAGATTTCCTCCAGGGCGGAGCCAGAGAGAGGGAGCTGCCAGCCTTGTGAATGTGGATATGACCGTGGGGGTTACTGCAGGGTAGCTTCTGTGACCATCTGCCCTGGGGCTTAGGAGCTAACCTCTGCCTCCTTTGCTGTGAGTCTGGGGGTAGTGGGGGCACCAGCACCCCCCTGGAGGCACATGTCCTGGCCTGACCTAAGAGTAACCACAGCCTCTACGGGGTACAGGCCTCTCTGATCCTCCAGATCACCTAAGAGGTAAGAGTGACTAATCAGTGCGTGCGTGCCGAGTCGCTTCAGTCGTGTCTGGCTCTTTGCGACCACATGGACTGCAGCCCACCAGGCTCCTCTGTCCATGGGATTTTCCGGGCAAGAATACTGGAGTGGGTAGCCACTTCCTTCTCCAGGGGATCTTCCTGACCCAGGGATTGAACCCGCGTCTCTTATGCCTCCTGCATTGGCAGGTGGGTTCTTTACCACTAGCGCCACCTGGGAAGCCCCTTGACTAAACCAAAGCGTGGTAAGTTCAAGGTGAAGAATGCTCAGCCCAGTGAGGTTGAGAGTTCGCCCACCGCACGCAGCCGTTAAATGGCAGCGCCTCAGCTTGAAACCTCATCTGCTGCTTCCAGCTCTTTCCACCACACACCCAGCCCCCCAGGCTCCAGGGTCAAGTTGGTCTGCCGCCTGCAGGCATCCTTATACAGCGGCAATATGGCCTGTCTGTCCCCAGCTCCCCTTCCCCAGGGCTGCAGCAGGGACAGTCACTCACTATCTACAACTATTCCTAGCCATTGGGTGCCCACATGTGCCAGGCTGGCTGGGGGCCGTGGCAGATAACACACATACACGCCCTGCCCTCACAGAGCTGGGCAGCTTGTCCTCGACCACATTCCTAACAGCCAAGGAGAGAGCCAGGAATGAGGACCGAGCTGTCATCCCTGGAACAGAAATTGAGATGGGAGCCAGGTCTCAGCGGCCGTGCCCTCCCCGACCCTGTCCCACCCTGTCCCACCCTGTGGCCACGCCCACCCGGCCAGGCTCCTCCCCTTTCCCCCTCAACCTGCGGCTGTGGACCACCCATCATTCCTCCCACCGTAGCTCTGCCAGGAGGCCCTTGTCCTGCACCTGTTGTCTGGCCTGTGCCTTGTGACCCTGACCACACCCTCCCCGTCCCACCCACCGCCCTGTCGCTGGTTGGTCCGGGGTGGACCTGACCCAGGGCGGGCAGATGAAATCAATCAGATTCTCTGGAAAATGTCCACCAAGCCGTATTAGGACAGTCAGTTCTAAGGTCTTAACAGCCCTAAGGAAAAGAGGATGTTGCCCGTGCCTGGACACCTGTCAGGCAACTGGGTGCTGGGTCAGCCGGCTGTGGCCGCGGGAACAGAAAGGTCACAGGCAGTGGGGACAAAACGGCACCAAGGGGAAAGCTGGTCGCGAAACAGAGGAGAACCGGGAGGGCGACAGAGATGGTGGAGGAGGGTTGTCTTAGAGCCCCACGGCCCGAGCTAGTTGGGGTGGTTTCTGCCGGTCACCGCCCCCCCTCCACGCACCCCCGGACCCCGTGGGCCCCACGCACCGATCGTTGACGAAGGAGAACATAAGCAGCCTCTGCTCGATGAACCACTTCCACTCGGGGTTCTCACTCTGCAGGTCGCGGTAGTTGTCGTTGGAGACGATGACGCCGTCCTGCTCGTAGGCCAGCTTCACGATGTAGCGGTCGTCATAGCACACCACGCGCCTGCCGCTCACCTTGCGGGACGGCGTGTACACCAGCACCGCTTGCCTCTCCAGCTCCTCCAGCACGTGCTGCTCTGCAGACCGCAGGGGCACACATGGAGCGTCTTCTCCGGGTCGGGGCACTCCCCACCCCCAGAGCCAGCCTCAGACCCAGGGCAGGTCCAGCAACTCCAGGCTCCTTCTCCGATGGCCCCCTCCTCCCCTCTTCTTTCCCCTTCCCGCAGCGGCTTCTACTCCCCACCCCGCCCCACGGCCCAGCCCATCAGGCCATAAGCAGAGGTGTTTGCCAGCAGCCTGAGGTGAGGTGGGCTCTTGGCTTCCGTCCTGCGGGTGGTACCCAGCCAGGGAGACACACTTTGGAAGGAAGAGTGGCACCTCCGGCTCTGTCCTTCTCACCTGCCACGATGCCCCTCCCACAGTAGACACGAGTTCTGTTTCTGCGGAAAGACATCTTCCCTGTTTTAACTAGCATCCTGGCAATGCCTGATGAATTACCAGGAGCCCCGCATCCACCGGGAAGTCTCCTGCTGGAGCTTTTACCAGAGAACCATGACCCTCTGTGATACAAGCATCTGCCAAGACAGCTCGGGCCGGAGCAGCCCACAACTGGCAGCTCTGAGGGACACAAGAATGTCGCAGGGAAAGGCCAGAATCTGCAGCCTGGTTTCTGGTCTTAGCTCCAGCTCTGGGGCTCAGACGGTAAAGACTCTGCTTGCAATGCAGGAGACTCAAGTTCGATCCCTGGGGCAGGAAGATGCCCTGGAGAAGGAAGTGCAACCCACTCCAGTATTCCTGCCTGGGAAATCCTAGGGACAGAGGAGCCTGGCGGGCTACAGTCCATGATTGCAAAGAGTCGGACACGACTGAGCAATTAACACTTGACACTGGGCTGCTTCACCCCTCTCTGAACATCAAGTTTTACATTTATAAAATAAAGAAAATGACTCCTCCACCTGCCTCACAGCGTCTGTGGGGACACTGAACCAGTCCATGGGGGGCTGGCGAGCCCCCACGAAACCTGGGAGGAGAGAGTATGTCTCAGGTGGTGCAGGCGTTATAAGTTCTCTTAACAGGAGATGAAATCTGCATACCTGGAAGGTCTACTCTGTAATCTTAGTTTCGAATTTGGAGACAAAAGAAATTCCTTCCACATGAAACAGGTACTCCCAATGTGGAAGAATATGAGCGCGTTCTTCACAAATCGTTTATCCCCTCAAGTCTAAGTCCTTTGCTATATGACGTGGTTCCCAGACTTTTAAAAAGTGCGTAATGCATATAATGGCACAAAAATCACTTTTAAAAAATTACATGTGTGCATGGTGATCATTTTGTAATGTATAAAAATATCAAATCACTGTGCCATATACCTGAAACTAATGTAATTGTGCTCAGTCATGTCTGACTCTGAGGCCCTATGGACTGTAGCCCGCCAGGCTCCTCTGTCCATGGGATTCTCTAGGCAAGAATACTGGAGTGGGTTGCCATGCCTTCCTCCAGGGGATCTTCCTGACTCCGGGACTGAACCCATGTCTTCTGCAGTGTGGGTGGATTCTTTGCCACAAGCACCACCTGGGACACCCACTAATATAATACTGTAAGTCAATTATACTCCAATTTAAATTTATAATTAATTTGTTAAATGCCATGCGTGCAGCACTCCCTTTGAAAAACAGCACAGTTCGTGCTTTGAAGTCCCCACTGCGGCCTGAAGTTTACTCTCCCTCCACTCCCTTTAAGATAACCCAATTTTTAGAACTTTGTGTTTATAATTCCCTTGCTTTTACTTTTTAGGATGCATATGTATGTACCCTTCAAAAGGATTATTTCCAACGTGATTATGAACCTCCAGACTTTACACGAATGGACTCATCGTGCATATATCCTATGCAACTTGTTTCTTCGTTGAACATTGTGTGGGGGAGGTCTGGCCATGTCAGGGTTATCGGTTTTACACAGACGTCTCCCTGTACAGGAGACAAGGATTTCTCCAGGGTCTATCTTAAGAAGTGATATTGCTGAGTTGTAGGGAAAGCTGCCTTAGGAGACAATGCTGAATCATTTTCCAAAGTAGTTATATCAAGTTACTACTCAACACTGCATCTAAGACAACTTGCCGGCACTTGACATTTGCAGGTTTTTAAGTTTTTCCCAATCTATATATAGATTGGGTATATATACAGATAGATAGATAGGGTATAAAGTAGCCTCTTGTGGTTTTATTTTGCATTTTTCTGGTTACTAATACAACTGAACATCTCTTCATATGTTTATTGGCCATTTGTGTTTTCCATCAAAGGCTTATTCATGCCTCAGCACATATTTCTATCTGTCTTTTCAGTCTTACTAGCTTGCAGAAGTTCCCTGTAGATTCTGGACCGTAATCCTTCACCAGGGATATGTGATGTGTGGCCTTTCCCAGTCTGAGGCTTGTCTTTTCATGATCTTGTTTTTGTGGTATCCACTAATGAACAGAAGTTTTTATTTTAATGTAGGCAAATTTATGACTCTTTCCCATCTCCTGACACTTCTTGTGGCTTGTTTAAAAATTCTTCCCTACCCCAAAGTGAATTCCCTACTCTTTACCCATTCTGTGTTGCATAATATATGTTACACAATATTACACAACTGTTGAAAGCCACCCTCCTCCACGTTCAGACCATAAAGAGTAATCTGGGATGAGTGGTCCATGATGAACACAAGTGTTCAGTCCCTGGCTTCTCAAAACCTCACTGAAAGAGCAGTGAAAAAGTACAGAAGGGGGAGGAGTCCATAATCACATTAAAAATCACATAAAAAAACAGCAGCAAAACCAAATTTTGATAAATTTAGGAAGACAGAAAGCAGGTAGGATCATACTGATCCTACATTAAAGAGGGAGCCATAAGCCCCGAAGGTGTACCGAAGCTGAAGCAGAGGTGGAGCCCGTTCTCTGCAAAGCCCCGCTTTTCAGTAGAAGTGGAGAGTGGGGAGAAGTCAGATGATTAACTGAAGGGTTACTATAGGGCAGCCGCATCCACCCTTTCCTATAAGGGAAGTGAAGATGTAACTACAAAGGAGGAGGCCTTTGACCGCCTACAGTAAAACATCTCCCCTGTGGCAAAGCCACTTTCAGTTCCAACAGCTGCCTCTTGCCTGTTGAACGCAGGGTGCGATGAAGCAAACCCTGCTGGTCAATATAGTCAAAGGTCAGCCTTGACTTTTTGGGAAAGATCCAAACACCAGGAGAGAAAGTCCATGGAAATTGCACAAGTGTATATTTAACCAGTTTGGTTCTTTATTCACAAGTAAACACTAACAAGCAAAGGATCACCAGACTTTGGGGAAGAAGATTTAAGAGCACAGAGAGAAAAAGAGAAGGGAACAAAGAGAATCAGAGAAAAGAAATATGATTCATGGACCTTCAGAGAACCTTTTCAAAGCCTGTATCAGTATAGAAATTTTCAAGAGGATACAATAAAACAAGAAAAGCATTTTATTTAAAATAGAATCAGAAAGAGAAGAAGCAATTGGTAAACAGTGATAGAACTGAAAACAAAACCAAAAACCTTCAGTTAAAAGACTAGAAGAAAAACTCAATGAAACCTCCCAGGATCACTAGAGGTCAGTCATACCATCACTAACGTGGCTGAAACAACACCAATAATATCTCAGGATGGGACCTCTTCTTATAAGAAAGCCAGACAAACAAACCAAAAAAAACACCCCAAAAACCTGTTTATTTAAATGACTTATTCTGTTCTTCATAGCTTAAAATATTCCTAGCTGATGTAAGAATTAAAAATAAAGAATTCCCGGGATCTCAACTTCCTTTTTTTTTTTTTTAATGAGGAGATTGGACTAGATATTCAGTGGACCGAATGGATGTCTCTTTCATTTCCTATACTCTATTAGGGGTGGGAAGCAGACCAACTTTTTCTGCAGAGTGTTGAAATATATAAAATAGCTAATTTTGAAACTTAATCTTTCACACTATAAGAGTAAATACGCCCAATCGCCTGTTCAACAACTATTTATTGGGCACCTACAACATGCCAGATAATACACTAGATGCTAGGGCTCTGGTTGTGCTTTCACAGAGTTTAGAGTTCAGCGAGAAAGACATCATCAAACAAAGGATAAGCAGACAACTGCAACTGTGAGGAGCACTGCAGAGGAAAGGTGTGCAGTGCGTCTTGAGAGCGCAGCCGCCCCAGCATACCTCTAATCGGGGAGTCAGGCCTCGGTGGCTCTTTCCTCCAGGAGGGGACAAAAACCTTGATGCAGCTGTGTCCTCTGTCCCTAAACCAGTCCACGGCCAGCTGGATTCCCCGGCAAGAGAAGACTTCTTTATTCCCATGGCTACAATGAGAAAACAAAGGGATCTGTAGAGAAGCAGGCGGGGTTCCTCAAGAGTGATTTTTCCTGGGAATAGCCTGGATCCTAGTCTCATCATCAAAGGGAATCAGGCAAATCTGCATTTTGAAAATAGGCCATTCTTTACACAAAATATATCCCTTAATCAGAACCAATTAGCTTGTGATAACATGTAGGGGGTCTCAGGCTCCTTGGGGAGTACATTCATTCCAAGGATGAAAAGACAAGCTCCTCTTATTAACTGAAGCTTATAAGGATCAAGAGAGGGTTGTCAATGTAATAGTGGGCTGCCCAAGTCCAAGTAACAAGGTCACGTGCCCCACAAATTCCACTGAAATCATCGATGGAGGCAGGAAGGAGAGAGCCGTGTGAGAGGATGCTCAGAACCAGGCAGGGGCTTGTTACTGAAGGTCTGTCTTGCTCCTAAGAGGAATAAGAAGCCATAGATGGATTTTAAGACTAGGGGTACATGTGGTGTATGGTGGCTCAGAGATAAGAATCCACCTGCCAATGCAGGAGACAAGGGTTCAATCTCTGGGTCGGGAAGATCACCTGGAGAAGGAAATGGCAACCCACTCCAGTATTCTTGCCTGGAGAATCCCATGGACAGAGAGCCTGGTGGGCTACAGTTCATGGGGTCACAAAGAGTTGGACATGATTTAGTGACTGAGCAACTGAGCAGGCGTGCTTATGTGATGTGAGCTGATCTGATGTCTGTTTCAGAGCTCCACCTGGCAGCAGAGAGGACAATAAGTTGGAAGGAGCAAGAATGGAGAGTGGACAGCAGTTAAGAAGCTGTTGCAGTGACCATCAAAGCAGAACCTGATGGTGACCTGGACCCAGCTGGTGGTGATGAAGTGGAGTGAACTTGAGAGACAGATACTCAGGAGGTAATATCTCCAGATGCAGTGATCAGTTGGATACAGGGATGCTAGCGAAAAAGACACTGAGGAGCTTTAAGATCTCCAGCTTATGTAAGAGGATGGAGGGCCCTGAGACAGACCTTGGTCTGGAGGAAGACAGGATTTAGAGAAAAAGATCCTGAGTTTGGTTTTGGACACATGTTGAGATGGGAAGAGCCTTGGTGACCTCTAAGTGGAAATATTAAATAAACAGCCAGGGTTCAGAAGAGAGGTCTGAGTGATAAAACGTGTGAGTCATCTTTTTAAGTACTGGTTGGAGCCACCACGTGGAGAGAATTGCCTGATCGCTTGGACAGGGAGTGAGTGGCCGGGGAACTGGGCGTGGAGGAGCTCCGGAGCTCAGCAGCTGGTCGCAGGCAGAGGAGGACAATCACACAAGAGACAAGAGGCATCATTCAGAGAAGTTCAGTGGTTAAGACTCCACGCTTCCAATGCAGGGGACCCAGGTTCAGTCCCTGGTCCGGATAAATTAAAAATTTAAATTAAATTTTAAATTTAATTAAAATTTAAAAGAAAAATTAAAAAGTAAAAGTAAATAAAAGAAAGGAAGGGGGGTAAATCCAAAGAGACTGCACTGTGGGAGCCTCGAAAAAGAAGCAGTCAAATGCTGCTCTGAGAAGCCAGAGCATCCCTTAAAACATCCCTCAGACTCAGTCAGTAGAGGTCAGCAGTGTTTTGCTGGAGAGGGAGACAAGGGCATGGATTTGAGATACTGAGAACGCATGCTCAATGGAACTCAGCCAAGGATGGGCCACAGACCAGCTTAAGACTAGATCAGCCACCCTCTGCTCACAACTTCTACCCCATCGCAATTCCTCAGCCCTTCGTCCTGCCATGTGCTTCCCTCCACTCCCACCGCAAGGCCTATGTACCAACTATTTTCTCCCCTCTTAACCCAGTCTATTCCTCCTTCTCCTTTAGATCTCAGCTTCATTGCCACTTCCTTAGGAAAAGCAGCTCCATCAGATTCCCCTGTTAGGAGTCTTCACAGCAAGGTCACGTCCTGGTCCTTCCTGCACTTACCACAGCTGAATGTGCACATCCAACCACGGGATGAATCGCACCCCCCTCCCTTTCTATATCATTGGTTTCCCAGGTGGCACTAGTGGTAAAGAACCCACTTGCCAAGGCAAGAGACATGAGACTGGTTTCATCCCTGAGTCGGGAAGGTCCCCTGGAGGAGGGCATGGCAACCCACTCCAGTATCTTTGCCTGGAGAATCCCATGGACAGAGGAGTTCCATGGAACCCTACAATCCAATAGGGTCACAGAGTGGGACACAACTGAAGCGATTTAGCATGCATGCATGCATTTCCAGATCATAGGCTCCTGTTGCTGCCCATCAAATTCCCAGCACCTAGTACAGCGGTGCCTGATCATTGATAAGGGTTCAGTGAGAACATGTCGAAGGAATGAATGACTGAGAAGAAGCAGGTCTTGTGAGCAGGTGGAGGAGAAGCAGTCCAGAAGGGTTGGCTGGAAGGACCCTGATGTAGGAAAGGTTTGCATGTCCAGGGACCAAAAAGAGGACAGTGTGGCTGGAACGTGTGGAGTGAGTGAAGGGGAGGTGGGGAGGCGGGAGGGGGCGCGGCTGGGTGCTCAGAGAGCCAGGGTCCCCACGACTCTTGCACCCTTTCCACATCCAAGCAAGGCCAGCACATCAAATCCTCATATCTGTGCTTTTGCTGGTGTGTGGCTCCTTCTGCTGTTTCCTCAGAGAGGGTTAGGAGGGGTCAGGGTTTGTCAAGAGAAAAGGGGAGTCTGGAAACGCTCATCACTAGTGTTGGAAGCCAGGCTTTGTGGAGATTCAAGAGGACTCTACACCCCCAGGGACGTATCAGGGACCAGGCCTCAACCTCTAGGTCCATAGGATCTTCCAGCTTAGGGCAATAGCCCTTTGGCCATTGGGGCTAGACCTGCAAACAGTAAGCAGAAAAATATCAATGGGCCATCCGTGGAAAAAAAGGAAGAGGAAGTGGAAAACTAGTCCCTTCCGCCCCAGCAGAAATTGAAAAAAGAAAGGAGATGGAGGAAGAATGTGGAGGCCATTCACAGGGTCCTTACCCCGCACCGCCCCCTCAAGCCTACCCCACCCACTGAGACATGAGGGACTGAAGAGGTTGGAAACAGCGGGACAGGTGTGAACAAGAGGCTGAAGGCTTGTCTCTCGGCACAGCCTGGGCAAGTCACAAGCCTCTCGGAGAAATCCTGGTTTCAGCAGATGCAGCATCCCCCAGGACTGCAGGGCCGTTGTGAAGAAAAGTGGCATCTAGGTGAGCCTGAGCCAACACCCCTGGATTCCCTGCTTCCCCTGGAGGATGGTGTGTGGCCTGGGAGTGGACAAACAGGGGGGATCCCAGGAGGCACTAGCAGTAAAAAAAAAAAGAAACCCACCTTCCAATGCAGGAGACACAAGAGTCACTGGTTTGATCCCCAGGTTGGGAAGATCCCCTGGGCATGGCAATATACCTCAGTATTCTTGCCTGGAGATGCCCATGGACAGAGGAGCCTGGCGGGCTACAGTCCATGGGGTCGCAAAGAGTCGGACACGACTGAAGTGAATGAGCACCACACATGCACAGGGGGGACAGTACTAAAGCCAGCATGGCTCCCCCAAAGGCCAAACAGGACCAACGTCCCTCTGGTGACCATTCCAGAAGCCTGGCCAGCCCAGTCACTCTGCAGCAGAGTCCAGTGAGGGTCCCAGACCCTTCTCCCAGCCAGCACCAGGTCTCAGAAGCTTCTAGCTGCCATTTGGGAGAGGAGCGGGAGAAGGGAGAGGAAACACGAAACTGGAGTCGTCCAGAAGACAGAAGAGGCTGAGGCACCACACATGGGCAAGTGTGAAGCTTGCTCCCTCCTGGTTCCTAAAAGGTGGTGAAGAGATTTCGTGTATCTCAGGAAATAACGTCTATGTTCTAAGCAGCTGCAGCAGTGATGTGAGCATTTGATGACACCCACACTCCCACCTTGCCCCCCAGCACAGGTATCTCTTGGCTACAGCAAAGTCTGTGCATGCGTGCTTGGTCGCTTCAGTCACGTCTGACTCTTTGCAGCTCCACAGACTGTAGCCCGTCAGATTCCTCTGTCTATGGGATTCTCCAGGCAAGAATACTGGAGTGAGTTGCCATGCCCTCCTCCAGAGGATCTTCCCAACCCAGGGATCGAACCCATGTCTCTTGCATCTTCTTCACTGCAGGCAGGTTCTTTACCAGAGTCACTGGGGAAACCATGCAGCAATGTCTATCCTCAGTCATTTCTCAGGAAAACAAATCGTTGCCACAATTCTTTAAAATTTGTTTCTATGCCATGCCGTGTGGGATGGGGGATCTTAGTTCCCCGACCAAGGATGGAAACTGTGTATTTGGGAGCATGGAGCCTTAGCCACCCAACCACCAGAGAAGTCCCTGCAGCTTTTCCTTGCTTGCTGTCTCTTCTGTGACTACGTCTACGTGTCTGTCCAACTGTTCAAACGCCAGCTTTCCATCCCTGATGCCTTCGATGGGTGTGTGATTTGGGGGATGGATGGGAGCAAAGGGAACCCAGTGCCTGTGAGGGGACAAAGATGAGAGGTGTGACCAGTTCCAGTGACTCTGGACAGGACTTCAGCCTGCAGTGGCCCCGGCTGGAGGCAGGTGGAGGGGAGGGGGTTGGAGGTTCGGGAGTTCAGGAAGAGAAGAGCTAAGGAATGGAGCCACAACAGCTTCACACAGCAAAAACTGGCCCCACAGCTTCTCGGACACAAGACTCCAACCAAGAATCTCTGAAGAACAGGTTAAGTACCACCTAGGCCAGCTAGGCCAAGGCAAGGATGGAGCAGGTACTTGTCTGTCCATCAGTGCAGCCAGGACCTTCCCCGTCTCCCTAAGAAGTGCCTTCTCTTCCAGCTGGAATTCCAGGCTCAGGGAGGTCAGGCACTGGCCCTCTCTGGAATGGAGGATTTTCATTCAGGATTCATTCATTCATTCATTCCTGTTCTTGCACAGACCCTACCCCAAATTCAAGAGCCTTCTGGTCTCTTGAAATGTGAAGATTATCTATTGTTCAGTCCTTACTATGTGG